AAGCCAAAGCACCGGTTCGCACCTGGGAGCACAGCCCGCCCGGCTCTAGTGCAAAGCAGTCAGTGGGGAAAACAGCTTCGTGTTCAGAGAGCATCCGCCCTTCAAGGAAAGGGGACGGAGGATAGGTTACAGGGAAACAAAAAAGCCGGCGGAATACTAACTTCATACCTTTAACACTTACACGCTCACGGCGCAGTGTAAGCGATACGGAGGCGAACCGGCACGCGGCCGCTCTCAGTCAGGCGCAGCGCAGCGCCAAACACACAACCTCCCTCTACGCACGCCGCCTCATGGCGCCACGCCTAATATGCGGGTAGCGCCGCCCCCCGCGCTCGGACGTCACGCGTTGCCGCTGCCGTCACGGCGGGTTCCGCGGCGACGCCTCCGCCGGGCGAGCCCACTTCGCGGCCGCGCGGGGGGAACGAGGCGATCGGCACGGGGCGACCCCGCGCCACGCGGCCACGTCCGCGGCATCGAGAGTCCCGGAACGCTACCGGGGAGAACCCACCGGCGGTCCGAGCCCCGAGCTCGGCGGGGAACGTGGGGCTGGCCCGGGGGCGCTCCCCCGCCAGGCGGAGCTGGTAGGTGCCGGACGCTCCGCTGCCGCCGCCCGTAAAAGCGCCGCCGCGGGGCGGGCGCGGAGCCGCTGCTGTAGCCGCCCCGCCGGTAGCATGTACCAGGGCCCCGCGCGCTGCCTCTGCTCGGCGCTGCCCGCCTTTCGCCGCGCGCCCGCCGCCGCCGCCTCGCCGCCCCTGCGGCCTCGCCGTTCGCCGGCCCTCGGACCCGCCGCCCCGTGGGCTGCAGCGGGGGCCGCGCCGCCCCCCGCAGGTGGGTGCCGGGAGAGGTGGGGGGAGAGCGATGCCGTGCGGCCGGCCGGGATTGAGGGGCGTGGGGGCGCGGCCAGGGTCTGCCCCAGTCCCCGAGTGGCGGCGCTGGGCGGAGCCGAGCCCCCCGTTGGTTGGTTCCGGCTCTCCGGTGCTTTAGGAGCTCCGCTGTCAGAGCCGTGCTGCGCACCGGTGTGACGCGCCGAGGCGGGGCGCTGGGTACGGCGCGGCCGGCTGCGGTCGAGGTCCCGTGCGTGCCGGTGGCCGTGCCGCGCTCGAAACGCGAGAGCCCGGCCTCGCGGCCCCGGGTGCGAAGGCTGCCCGAGGTCGCTCCCCTGGCAGGCCCCGTGTCCTGACACGAGGTCAGGGCCCGACGCTAAAGCCGTCTCCTGACCGGGCCTGTAGAGTGTCACTCGGGCAGGGTTTCAGCTCCGGCTGTGACTGGCGCCGAGTCCCACCGTGCCGTTCCCGCACGCTGCCAAAATCAAGGCTTGAACGGCAAGCGGCAGCAAGGGCTCCACGCATAGTGGGACAGCGGGCAGCCAGTGTGTCACACCAGGACAGCGAGCATTGGGGTTGAGGCGGGAGGTATGGCAGTGCTCTCTGCTTCACTAGGACAGCCGTCCCACGGCCCTTGGCTACAAAGCAGAGCCTTCATAATAAAGAGCACGGTCCTGTCATTAGGTGACAGAAAAAGCCTTGGACTTTGTGCCGTGTTCTTCGAAAGGCTGAGACCACACCTCGGCTGAGAAGGTGCCCTCTTGTCCCTTTCTCTTCCTTCCTCTTCTACGCACTCACTGAGTAACTGCAGGCGGTGCTGAGCTGGCATTTCCCATTGCAACATCACACCGTGGGAGCTGTCTGTGCTCAACCCCTGCTGCTCAAGGACAACCTCGAGAGAGTGTTTCCTGGTGCGCTCCCCTTCCCCACACAGCAGTGTTGGGGTCCTGCTCAGGGGCTTCATGGCTGTGCCCCGTTCCCTGGCCATTAAGTGGTATCTCTTCTGCTTGTGCTCGGCTTCTGGACAATAGTTTGAACTGACCAAATCTCTGGAATTGAAATGCTATAAGCAGTCCCTTAGAAGCTCACCTCTTAACCTGGGGAACTCCTGGTACCTCACTAAGGATGGAGATGGGGTGAGGATGGAGGATTTCCTATGTCCAATTTCTCTTCCTAACTTAATGCCTTCAAGCAGCGCTAAGCAACCCCTAACTGAGCATAGCAGAGGCACTATTCCATTAGCTTACACATCTGGAACACCTAAGTATTTTATTTTTTAGCACATTTAAAAGCACCTGTTTTACAAGTCTGTGAGTCTCCTGCTCATTTATCTGCCTCCCCTCATTCCCTGAGCTGCTCAGGCTCCTGTCCTGCTTCTTCCCCTCCTGCCAGGCCTGGCCCTGCCACATGCCTGTCACCAGCCCACACAGAAAGCAGTGCTGTGAACCGTGTCTCCTCTCCCCACCCCAAGCTGTGAGCTTGCTGAAACACTCAGGGAAAGTTGCTGCTGTAAGGGGGAATAAAATCCTAGACGGAGGTTGCTATTAAATATTAACCTGAAGCAGAGAGTCAGCTAACTGCTGCTCCATGGGCCTTCAGTCATCCACATTGGGAACAGGGCACTGTGCTGTGCAGTTCGTTGCCTTCGTTAACACTGTGCTTGGAACAGGGAGCACGCAGCGTCTGTTTACCTGCTGGGCTCTCCTCGGTGAGGAGGGAAAAAGTACACTTTGTTCTGCTTTCCACAAAGCATGCAGAAGTTAATCATAGCCCTCCTTCTGAATGAAAGCCTCCTTTCTCCCCTTATGGGATGCCTGCACGCTGTCTTAAACGAGAGGGTTTGCATGCTGCAGCAGTTGTGGCACCCGGTAACAAGCAAAATGAGACAGGACCGTGAGCAGAGCTAATCCCTATCTCTGCACCTCTGTTTTGTCTTGGAAGCAAGTTCCTGCACAAACCCCATGTTACTCATGCGTAATGAGATGATCTATAAAGCATATGAACATCGCTCATGCCAGATTTCCCTCTGCAGCTTGTTCCATGGGAAACAGCACCAGCCGGCTCTACAGCGCGCTCGCCAAGACGCTGAGCAGCAGTGCCGTGTCCCAGCACCAGGACTGCCTGGAGCAGCCTGACTCAGCTCAGCTGGAGCCCATAGACCCCAAGGACCTGCTGGAGGAATGCCAGCTCGTTCTGCAAAAACGACCACCTCGCTTCCAGAGGAACTTTGTGGACCTGAAGAAAAACACAGCCAGTAACCACCGCCCCATCCGGGTCATGCAGTGGAACATCCTCGCCCAAGGTAGGAGCTCGAGTTGGAACCTGAAGACCAAATGCAGCAAGTAGTCTAAAATGCAGGTGTGTCTGTGCAGTTAGACACGTCTGGGGCTGACAGGATTAAGGGAGAGAGATGACTGATGCGAGGCCCAGCTGATAGGGGGAAATTTTAAGCACCTGAAACGGCAACTTGTTTTCCGTTCGGAAGGAAAGAAAAAAGGTCTCCCTCTTCTGCCATCTCTGAATCCAGCAGTTGCTCTGAATGCCTGTCTTAGAACATGCTGTGTCCAAAAAAGACACGCCTGTCACTTGTAGTTGTCAGCTCCCAGAACAGAGACCCATCTCTGTAAGATTCTTTGTAAAGCTCTTCTGTTTTCTAATTGGTGCTTCGCTGAACTGTTTGGGGATTCAGGTGGGTTACAGAAATTCTTAGTTCTTCCAAATAATCGCTATTGATTTTTCTCAGAGCCCTAAAGTCAGGACTGCGAGTTGAATTATGCAACAGCCTCACCTTTGGGGTGGGAGAGGGCAATCCTGTGCGTAAGAACTGCCCTCGTGTTCTCTACTTAAGTAACCCCTGCAGTGCTGCATTTTGTCTCAGGTAAGCTGTGGCAGCCGCAGGTGGAAGACAGTGTGGTGACCTTTGAGAAGAAGGGGAAGAAGTCTCGAATCTGAGTTACTTTTGCCACTGCTAACTTCCTTCTTTCACACCTCTCATTTCAGCTCTTGGAGAAGGCAAGGACAACTTCGTCCAGTGCCCCATGGAAGCTCTGAAATGGGAGGAGAGGAAGTGCCTCATCCTGGAGGAAATCCTTGCCTACAAGCCGGACATCTTGTGCCTGCAAGAAGTCGACCACTACTTTGACACCTTCGAGCCACTCCTGAGCCGACTGGGCTATCAGTGCACTTTCTTCCCGAAGCCGTGGTCGCCGTGCCTCGATGTGGAGCAGAACAACGGGCCGGACGGCTGCGCCTTGTTTTTCCTCAAAGAACGCTTCGAGCTCATCAACAGCGCAAACATCCGGCTCACCGCCATGAAACTGAAGACCAACCAAGTAGCCATAGCTCAGACACTGAAGTGCAGTGAAACTGGAAGACTGTTCTGCATCGCCGTCACCCACCTGAAGGCTCGCACTGGCTGGGAGAGGTTCCGCTCTGCGCAGGGCTGCGACCTGCTCCAGAACCTGAAGAGCATCACCCAGGGTGCAAAGATCCCTCTGATCATCTGCGGAGACTTCAATGCGGAGCCGACCGAGGAGGTCTACAGAGAATTCTCCAACTCCAGCCTCAACTTAAACAGCGCGTACAAGCTGCTGAGCCCCGACGGGCAGTCGGAGCCCCCGTACACCACCTGGAAGATTCGGCCCTCGGGAGAGTGCCGGCATACGCTGGATTATATCTGGTATTCCCAGCATGCCTTGAATGTGAACTCAGCCCTAGGCTTGCTGACTGAAGAGCAAATTGGGCCCAACAGGCTGCCCTCGTTCAATTACCCTTCAGATCACCTGTCGTTGGTGTGTGACTTTAGTTTTAACCAAGACCCTGACAGACTGTTATAATTGGTTGGAATGCCACCCGATATTGCCATATGTTAATTCACCGTTGTTTTGTGTTACTGAAAACTTCTGAGGCTAGAAGCTATTAAGGATGAGGAAGTACCGTTGACTAAACAGCACTTGTTTGGAATTACACTTATCCTTCAGAGCTCGTTCATCCGTAGCCTCTGAAGGAGGAAGAAAGGAGTCAGTGTTCTTGTAATGATGGTCTTTCTGTACTCAGATTTGAAAACTGGAAGGGAAATGAGCTTTATCCTTTCACTAACCCCTGTGCTAAGAGTATAATCCTCTAATGAATGCGGAGGCCTGAGTATTTAAAGTTAAATGTGCGTATGTAAAACAGTTTGCCCTGGCAGCACGCTAATTTTGTTTATTTGATGTTAAGCTTGTGCCGGTACCAAAGGGAACAAAGCTTGACTTCTCAGATTCTGTTAAGTCCTTTTCTGTTGCAGATGAAGGAAGCTAAACAAGGTGTAGACATGAACAAATCTAACATCATATTGGCGTAGCCTTCTTATTTCCACACGACTTAAGAGGAAGACTCTAATGAAAGTGAAGGGGTAACAACACAGTGTAAGCAAGGCCCCCTCCAGCGAGTGAGGAAACGGGCTAACTGCAGCACATCCTGTAGTGACATCCTCACTATTCCAAAGAATGCACGTGAGTCCATCACACAGATGCTCTGTAGGTGTACATGCTGTGCTTCCCTCCAGAGTACACGCCTAACAAGGAGTGTTTTCTTGTCTGCTTCAAGTATTACCTTTATGAATGGTTTAAATTGATATCCTTGTCCATCTTGCAGTTTCAGTAAAAGGCCAATCTTCATTTTGAAAGACTTCCTTTTATTTATCTTCGGAACCTAGATCTACACTGGAACCTGTTAGGAAACAAATTTTATTTATTGTGAGAAGCTGGTAATCCTGTACCTGACTTGAAATCGCACAGCAGCAGCACTCAGGAGCACTTACAGGTCCTCTTTCCGTGGCCCAGATCGTAGGCCATGACAGAGGTGGGGTAGGGTGGTAGCTGTTGTGTGTGACATGGGTATTGAATATGTGGATTGTATACGTGCCACTGTGCCAGGACGTGGGGAAGGGAAAGGAGAGAACCAATAATTGGAGTTGGTCTGACATGTAGATAGTTTGGAGACTCGGCAAAGCAAATAAAGCAGTACTTCCATGCTGCATAAGGCCCACGGTAACTTGTAAATGTTCCAGCTGTTTAATAATAAAAGTCCTTTGGAAAAGAAAATATCCTGTACTGCCATCTTTTACATTTCCTTAGTATAAGTGGATGATACTATCGCTTCCAGACCTTCCTCCTGGTCCACAGTCCTAGCCTTACTAATTGTCACAGCCACTTTCATAGCAAGTGGTGTTTCTCAAACTTGCATGCCTACATTTCACAGCAAATCTGTAGGGAAAGGGGTTACACTTCTGGAGAAGTTAAGCTGCCTTCTGCCCTAGCTAGTAATGAAGCCTAGGCCTTAAATTACCCTAAGTATTTCTCTTCCCATCAGCTGTCTGAAGCTACGAACAGTGCCAGCACTCACCTCAGGACTGCACCCCAGGCTGCACGTGTTCCTCCCTGAGGAGCCACTAATGATGCCTAGCAGGGCTGGCTCCTCACAACAGGCAGCTCCGGTTGTCGCTTACGAAACACCTGAAGGGCAAGAAATAATACAGGTACGTGCTTTCCACAGCCCATGAATTACACTACAGCATGGATGTATTAAACAGCACCCCTAATAGGCATCTACCACAGAAGTCACACCAGAGAGCTGGGGTTTATATTCATCCTCTTCTGTTAGTTTCTGGAAGAAACTACACTTGCAGTAGTAAGGCAAAGATAAGCATACATTATTATTAATCAGATAACGCAGAGCTGTCTTTAAACAAAGCAAAAGCGTAAAAAAGAAAAAGCTCTGATTTCCATTTTGCTTTTGGGTGAATCGGTCCATTTTCTGAATGGTATCCCAGTGTTCATATGCGTGGCACTGCTTCACAGTGCCCAGGATAGAGACCCTGGCTTTCATCTCATCTCTCCCATGAGAAGATGATAAGTGGGGGCAGGCAGCATGAGTTCTGCAATGCTGCCATCACTGTAGAGCTTTTCTAAAGAGAAAAGGGCTGTGAGGCTCATTTTGCCCTGGACACATGGCAGTGAGTGTCCACGGCTTCATGTCCTTACAGGGCAATTTTGAAGGGAGAGTTGTGTGGGGGGAGGAATGTTAAAATCACACATGCCTCCTAGAACAGTAAATGCCTTCCATTATACTGTAATAAAGGTCAGACGAGGCTCAACAAGGAGCTGCTAACTTCCCAGCCAGCTTCAGCTTTTTATTCCAGTACTTGCTATAAAATGTATTTTTGCAGATAATGTTATAGAAAGCTCAAATGAAATACTGCCCTCGCTTTTGTTTTATTCAGCAAGCATGAGGCCTGCAGCAGTGAAATGCTTCTGCCCTCTATAAAATCCGTATGGTAAATATTTTTCATCGGAAAAAGCAGGAGGTTTTTCTATTTTTTCAGTGTAGCAGCACAACGCTCAGAATAAAAATGTATTCAGAGCTCATTTTGTGTCTCATAAGAACACCAAGGCTACAAGTCCCTGCAGCTCCCTTGCTCTCATCTTGAGTAAGAGGTGCATTAGCTCTAGCAGTGAGTTTCCCCTCGCCCCCAGGCCAGCTGAGGGAAGAAGTGACCCACTTACTCCGTTCACTGAAAGGCAGAAGCTGCTGCAAGCTTATTAGAACGCTCTCTCTCAGATAACAATTAGATCAGAAGTAGGTAGTGTCACTTGAAACTTTCCCACTTAATAAGCTCACTGCATCTCCAAGGCAAGCATTGAATTTAGCTTGTATGGATTGGGATGGTCTCCACACATAACCGAGACCCCGCTGGACGAGTCAGGGTAAGAACCAAGGCTTCGTGCACCGCTCCCCTTTCCTGCCTCAGCACCTCTGGCTCACTGCTCCTTCATCACCTCAGACACGATTTGCCAAGTCCAAAAGTCCACTAAATTAGTTAGCAGAGGACCAGAAGAGCCAAGCCTTCGCCACACCACGCTTTTCCCGGATCACTTGTGCCAAGGCACAGAACCCTGCAATTGAATGCTAAGCTTGAGATGCCAGAAAGAAGTTTCGATGAAGAGTAAAAACCCTTTCACCAGGTTTGCACGGAAAGATAGACTTTATCAGTTCAAGAGAGCAACAAAAATAGTTCTCCGGGATGAGATTCCTTTTTCAACTTCTCTAGCCACAACGCAGAAATGTTTCAAGTTGCCACACGTTACAGTTTTCCCTGTAGATCACACAGCATTACCCTTTCCACCCTATAATTTACAATATTACGAGAGGATATCTGAAAAATAATCATGACACATAATGTGGTATCAGTGGTACCATAACAATCCATGCCTTGATGCCTTCTATGTGAAGCGTGCTCACTGCACACTGCATTTTCATTCCACTCGTGGCATCCCCAGGAGTTACTACTTGCCCAGAATGGGCTCAGCCTAGACTCTTCTTCGTGAGCCACCAGTTACGGATGTCTTAAGACAGCAGTGCTACACAGGACCAGACTTTTAAAGGAACTGCAAGTCCAACAATGTATCTAAATGCTAACTTCAGCGTTTTGGTTAGCAGCCCTTTGTCTTTCAGGTGTTACAGACCTGACCAAAGCTCCTCCATCCTGACTTCATGTCCTTCACCATCATCAGTACAAGTATTTCTTGCCCACACGGCAATTACGTCAGAATGAAGAAGAATGTTAAAGAGCAAGCTTGCACAATGACTGCAGTGACAGTCAGCAATCTTGTTCTTAGCTCAGAAAACCTCCACGATAACCTTTACAAGAGATTGCCTCCTGTAAGCATGGCTTGAGAACAAAGCGACACGTTTTTCTGATGAAGAATAACTGGTCACATCAACGCAGAGGAACCAGGCAACACTGAAGAGCAGCAGCTAGGCAGACATGTTGAAGTCCACCTGTACAAAGGCCACCTGTATTTACATCTAGCAGCTAAATGTTTAACCAAGTGGGGCTTACGGAGCCATACGTGGAAAGGTGAATGAGAAGGCACTTCTCTCTCTGACCTTGCTAAGTACTGATTCATTGCAATGCACCTTCATACTGATTTGAGATTCTCGCAGCACCCAACCTACCTCTACTACATGTCCTGAGGCAGCTGGTACACGGCTGTCGCTCACTGCGTGGCCAGGGGAGAGAGCCAAAGGACCATCACCAGCTGGAGCGTGGGCACTAACTGCAAGCACGGCTGAGGGCTGTTTGTCTAGCAAGCAGCAGCCATCTGTGCCTTCATTCCTTCTGTTCTCGCCATTACATGATGAAATCCTGGATCTAACTTAACAGGAGGAGGTTGTCAGCTGGAGATCCTTATCTGTTTCCAGGAATGTACTCTGCCCTTAGTTGACTTTGTATCTAAATCAGGTGTGGGAAAGGTCTTAACTACAAATACACCAGCGATATACATTTCATGCTGTGAGATACAGCATCTCCCCTTCACACACGATCAAGTAACAGCCGTTTAGAGAATCATTTCTCACAGACAAGACTTAGAAAAGTGGGTTTGAAAATGCTACTGCTTTTGCCTTTGTTGTCTCCACCCTATTTTACCCACACAGCACAAAGCACTGCCTGCCTCTTTTCACCCTGCTCCACTTCCTTTGCACATTAGAGTTGCCTCAAACTTCCATAAGCATACTCCCATTGACTAGCTTCCCCACTTGGCCTTCTGGTCTCCCCCTTCCTTGGCCATGGCCTTCTGACCCACTTCCTCCTAGGCAGCACAAATCCTCTTCCTTCTCGTTCACATCCCCCTTTGAAAGAGCCTTTCTCCCTCATTTCAAGACCTGGAAGCACAGTTCACCTCCAAGAACCTTTTCTTCTTTGGGCTAAGTACTGGTGGAAGGGATTGCTGCCTTCTACACCCAAGTTGTTTCCCCGCTTCAGTTTTGTTCATCCCTTTGTTCTTAAATTCTGCTTCCCTGCTTAGAGTGTCTAACAAGTCTCTTCAGAAGAAGAAACACGAAGTCCCCACGTGCTAGCCTGGCTGTATGGAAGTATTCCCACATTTCTCACCATTTGAAGGCAAGAATAGGCTTACTGCTAGGACTCTGCGGGCAGCTTGTTTTTTAGCTTCAAAAGTTAATGTGAAAAAAATAAACTTCAGGGCAGCTGTTTACTACCAGCCTCATTTACAAGCAATGAAGTCCTCGGTTGCAGATTTCTGTTTGAACTGCTCGTCTGGGCATGAAGTACATAAATGGCTTTGATTACTTTGAGATTTACCGAGTCCCTGCTGTGAAGACTTCCCAGAGCATCTTGCTAGCAACTGGAGGTTCCTCTTGGGCACCTGGGTACCTGCAAGCTGATGGGCTGCTCCTGTAGTGACAGCTGTAGAACCACTTGTGGATCCCCATGAGAACAGGATGAGCTACTACACACCTGTTTTAGGCCACACTCTTATACGCAGGCTGTCACTGTGGCCTAAGTCTTGCATTGCAATCTCACCCGAGCTTCACCCTGCACCCACGCCTTACGGGTGACTATAAATACAAACCCTATTTAGATACTTACCTCATTGGGGGGGGAGGAGAGAAGGTTACCTAAAATTATTGACTTGTGTAGAAGCCAAAATATGAACAGTTGAAGACGTCAACGATAACAGCATCAAGAAGTGCAACAGTGCAACACATCTCTCCTTTGTCAGTTTCTACTCACCAGTGTTTTCTACTTCTGTCTATGAGACACTCAGAGAGATCAGTACACTCCACTGGTGAAGTCTGCTCACTTCCCCTTTTTACTTTGCTGTACAGCCTTAGAAAATGAAAGAATTGCTGGAGGAGCTGTAAGTCGTCCACAGAGCTTTACGAGACACTGGTTCTCAGGGCCATTTCAGCAAACCCAGTTTTCTTTGCTTGACAGCAAATGGGAGCACACAAAGTTATGAACTGCAGGGCAGTACCTTACCAGCTACTCGAGTTACTCCACTCCAGTACTCGTCCAATCAGCCACAGTGGAAGAACACTGAGTATTGCTGACCATGCCAAAAAAGCTTAGAGAACGAGAGCCCTGTCAGAAGTCAACTACTGCAAGCTTCTCAAATACTTCAACAAAACCTATTTCGGTGCACTGTGTGGGAGAGCTGCCAGCCATGTGGAGTGTCAGAGTGCTGGGGAGCTCCATGTTACCACACTATCCCAGCTACGTGAGGCTGAACGCCCAGATGATTTCAAGCAAGCAGAAAAGGAACCAAACAGCTGAAAGGAAAAAGTTAAAAACAGAAGGCAGACAAAACAAATTTCATTTCTATATTTCAGTAAAACCTACTTGAATACACTTTGAAACAAGAGTACAACAAAATAGAATATACTTCAAATGTTGAATATACAAACTATTATAGTTCATTCTGAACACTGGTACTTCCCTCTTAACTTCAACTAAAAAAAAAAAAAAATTTACAGGTTTAGAACTACCTGACGAAAGCTCATGCTGGGTGTGACCTTTCAAGTGACAGAGTAGAGCTGAAACTGAAATGTATGCACAGATGTCAAGGCTAAGTGAGAGACACAGGCATGTTACAGCACAAGGCCGGAGGCCTGCTGCTGTTTTGTCCACAATTAAGAAATTTAGACAGACTTTACCTACCATACAAAATATGTTACATGTAATTCTATAACAATACTGTGCTAGGTACAAGATTTTTTAAAAAATTTGTTTTAATAAAAAAGCTTTAAACAAACAAGCCATTAGCTTATTTCAAGAAAGATAATTGAAAATCAGTCTAAGGCTTTCGTTTTAAATCTGCTTAAGCTATGATACAAAAATCCCTCTAGGTCTCTGTCTTCTTTTAGAAGCTCTTCAATCTCCTTTATTTCACATTCTACAATACCTAGTAGCAGAGGTTTTCACTTAGCACCAGTTGAGTACTGCGGGCACGCAGTAGTGATTGCTGGTATGCATATAAGATTCATCAACTTTGCCATTTCTAGAAATGAGACTTTCCTCTTCCCTGAAAAACCAAAAACCAAGGCAAACCTCTCACACAATTCAATTTTAGTGTTCCAGGTCTTAGTGTGCTGTGACAGCGTAGTGAACTGCTTGGTCCCTTTTCAGTCTCTCTACCGTTCCTTCTCCACGGGTTCAGCTGTCTCCTGACTGGAAGAGGCCGTTTCTGTCAGCATAGCAATGTGGTTCCATTCCCACTGAAACACGGGAAAAATACTTCTTTTTCTCCCCACTACGTCTCCAATGCAACTCATGTTTTTTAACACTTCCCCACTCTCCTTTCTGACGTGGCGATCGCCTCCACTTCCCTCCCCAATTATGTCAGTTTAAACAAAACAGTAACAGTCCGTAAGTCCACGCTGGAAGCAACCTGTTCTTCACTTCTCACACGTTAGGATTCCTTCTGTTTTCATTGTCACAGGAAGCGCGATAGCTGAGGGCGTACTAACTACCACGACATGGGTTACAGTCTTGCTCCCATCTGCCGTCTTCTCTTCCTGCAAGAGCTGCAGCGTTTTCACTTCACGTTCTTGCGTTACAGCCGCTGTGTCTGATTTCACTTCCGGGCTTTTTATTACTGCACTAATAACCCTGGGGGCAGTCTGGCCTGACGCCTGCTGCGCAGGCACCGATAGTCTCATCACCGGTGTCCCGTGAGCTATGGACACCGGGGTCAGTGCTCTAACAGCCAACGGGGTTCCAACGATGTTGATACTTCCCGACCCAGTCAGGCCTGGTTTTGTCTGTACCTGACACTGCGTCAGCTGCGTGGCGGGGATCGTAATGATCTTGGCAGGCTGCATGGTGATTTTGTCTCCATTCTCAGAAGCGGTTGGCATCACAGTGGGGATTGTCTGGATTACCACCTTTGGAGTTGTTGCCGTTGTCGGACTTGTGTTGGTAATTAACGGCGACCCTGCATTTACTGACTGCACTGCCACAGTAGAAATTTTCTGTCCCAGAGAGGTCATTACAACAGGCACTTGCATTGCCACACGTACAGTCCTGCAAAACAAAAACGTGCATTTAAACCGTTAGAGCTGAAAACAGCGATACGCAAATCCCGAATTTGCAGCTTTCTAACTGGTTCCTTAAGAACGACGACGACAAAAACCTCCTGTCCATCTCATAATAGGAGTTTGTAGATTGAGCAGCATCCATCTCTCTCTTCTCTACGTGATTTTAAAACATGCTTGAGGGCAAGTGCACTGCTAGGCGGCTCTGTCTCATAAACCACACTTTCACAGTATTCTACCACAATTCATGGCTGCCTGTAGATCAGAGAAGACTTCCAGCATACAAAGTAATAAAGACACCACACCAACCAAAAAGCTGCTCGTCATTCAGTGGTGAACAACAAGCCCAAGCCACATCAATACCAACCTGGGAGCCGACGATGCTGGGACAGTAGTAGTGGTTGTCGAGGGGCGAGATGATGATGAATCGTGTGCTGGTGAGGCAATATTCACCACTCTGGTGACTGCTTTTTCTGTTCTGGTACAGCTTAACTGAGACAAGTTTTTTCCTCCGCGTGCAGAGGTTGCTGCTTTCAAGAGGTTTTCTGCAGATAAAGACACTCTCTCCAATGACTTCTCATCTGTAGGCATTGACAAATCTTCACTGCAGGGTTCGCTTTTGTCATCATCGATGACAACTATATTTTTTGGCATCTCCTTAAACTGATAAACGAGCCTCTGTCCCTCAACTTTGGCAAGGATTCCTCTTTGATAGTAGTATCTGCAAGAGAAGTACCATTAAGTGGTAACTGATACAGATTCTAGAGAAAAACTCGCTCTGCGCTAGCAAGAAAATCTAACATAACCACAGCCAAAAATAAAATCTAAGAAGGCATGGCAAGAAGCTGCACAGCATCTCAAGTATCCAGCTTAAAAAAAATCTGGCCTTTTAAACACAAACCTCTAAAGGTAAATTGCAAATTAACTGGTAACGTGGAAAGCAACAGGAACTGCAAAACTGTTGCTTTTTCATCAGCGAAGTCAGCAGAAGGGCAGCTTTTAACACCTCAGAATTGGCATTATTTCTATAGAGTTCAATCTACACTTGAGGATTTAAGAGTCAGATATGAAATTATAGTAAGAGCAGTAAGTAAGTAGCAGCTTAAGATTTTACCTCAGAGCTCTTCCCATGGTCTCATAGTTCATGTCAGGTTTGTTTTTGTGTTTTCCCCATAGTTTGGAGACAGCTTTCGAGTCCACAAGCTTAAAGATTCCTTTCTCTCGCTGAGTCCACTTAATATAACGAGGACAAGTATTTTTGTCCTGGAGAAGGTCCAGAAGAAACTCCCATAAGTATGTTGTATTTCCTATAATCAGAAAGCATTTGAACATTAGAAATCCACTTTCAAGGACAGCAGAAAATTCTCCATATATAGCTAACTCCAAATGACCTAAATTACAGGCAAACACTACGCAGAGGATGGTATGTAATGCAACCTGCAAGCATTCATTCATTCTGTTTAGTAAAGCTTTCATAAATATTTACATTCTGAAAGGAGCTAACCCTGGTGATCTGTTGGATAGCACAGGAGCCTCTTCAATTCCACACCCATTCCCAGTTCTTGAAAGAGAAAAGAAGTACAGGAGGGTGTTTCAAGACTCTACAACCTACAGCTGCTCTGCGCAGACAGGAACACAGTTCAGAATTTTCTTCTCAGTTTCTTAAGCAGAGGAGAGAAAAGCCAGTGCACTTTAAGATGCTGAAGTACAAGACGACAGAAATAAATCACACACAAAGGCATACAACCTTCAATAACCATCTCAAATGGTAATAAGGCCACAACCTCCTGTCCAGGATCATCCTGCTGACTTCAATGGGACATCAGCACCAAGGGGACTCTCACACCCACTGCTGACACCCCGTGTTCTGATCCAAATGTATCTTGCACAATGATTGAGACCCTGCTAGGTGCAAAGCCAGTCCTGCTACTCCCTGCAAGGATTTACACGGCAGAAATGCCACGTACCTTCCTGCAACTGGGGAGGTACAGAACGAAGAAGCCTACAGAATAAGAATTCAATACACTTCTCAGACATTTCAGGGGCGTACAATTTCTGTACCATTTCCACTGGAGGTGCCACAAGACAACATCTGTAACAATGACTATCAGGATGGCATAAAACATAACATGAGGGCTGCCTGGACTCTGACTACACCTAGCAAAAGGGAAAGAAAAGCAGAAGGAAAAAAGATACCTCTGTTTTATCAGTAGTGCTGGAGAAGACCGCTAAAGCGATTCAAGAAGGGAAAACCAAGACAGATCCACAAGAGTAACAACCTCAGAATGGCCATCTCAATTCACGTGATCATGCTTCCAAGCCAGCAGCAGGTGCCATGGGCAAATTAAAACATACACCCCAATATTTTCTGCGTGCAAAGAGATCATTAACTCTTGAGGTTTAATGGCCCAGCACAGCACTTGTTTGTAGCACGGCGTAACAACAAAAATATATTAAGGCAGTTGAAAGGCCTCTCGTACAGAGTCCAAGAAGTCAACTACCTTAGAAAAATCTCATTATGGTTTCCATCTTCTGGATGATGATCTCAGAGACAGACGACCCAACATTTTAGTAAGTGCTCCAGTAAACAGCAAGTACAGAATCAAGTCATATGAAAATCCAGCTGCATTTCAGAGAAATATAGGACTTATATGAGTCAAGATGTTCCAGAATCCTGGAATCAT